TTTACGAAAGCAAAACAAAATTATGTATTCTTTTTTAAGATAAAATATTTCCTAATTCAACCTTTAGAAATTTTTATTTTTTACAGTAAAATGACAAAAATTAGTATATCTATCGCTCTCACACTGTTATCTAGTGCATCTTTTCTTTAATTAGTACTACGCCAATTCTTATTATTTATTGTTCTGTTCATATTTTATGATGTGTAATGTATATATTCCCCTGATAAAAAAATAGTGTCATTTGAAATATTCAATATATCATTACTATAAATTAAAATTTTGACAAAAATAATTATATATTCTGATAGTCTCTGGAATTCTCTACAACTTTATATATAGATGCTATGGATTGCATCTATCAACTAGAAATAAATTCAAGTGCAATAAAGGTACCCTCATCGTCAGATTCTCCGAAGATACACTTTTTCTTCTGTTTCATCCGTTTTTTTTTCAAATTTATTTTGTCATATAGAAACAAGTTAGTACAAAATTAAGTATGCAAACTGAAATTCTTTATCACCTTGTGTTTTCCCAGCCATTATTAACTATTATTTGACTACAAATATTTGGTATATTATTTCTATAACCACGTATGACATTTTGTGGAATCGCATTCCATGTTTGTTCAACTAAACGTTCTAAATCTTGTTGAGAGTTTGGGTAATTCCTTTGCACATACCGATTCATCCAAGACCAAAAACATTCTCAACAGCATTGAGATCCGGACTAACAAGCGGATAGTCATTCATAACACTACGTTATAAACTGATATATTCAACTAAATTATATTCTCAAGAAAATAGAAAAAAAAGTCAAAAGTCAGAGAACGATCACGTGTATAGCATTTGAAAAGAAAGGGAAGAATAGTTACTCATTATTCTTACCCTTATGCTCTGTAGATAACGACGATTACATATGTGTATGAAAATAAGCTGTACATCTCCCTTGGACATCTCAAAATTTTCCTCTCCAGTGCTATTTTGATGCACTTTCAGTTTGCATACTTAATTTTGTACTAACTTGTTTCTATATGACAAAATAAATTTGAAAAAAAAACGGATGAAACAGAAGAAAAAGTACATCTTTGGGCAATCTGACGATGAGGATACCTTTACTGTACTTGAATTTATTTCTAGTGAATAGGTGCAATCCAAAGCATCTATATATAGAGTTGTAGAGAATTTCACAGGCTATCCGAATATATAATTACTTTTGTCAAAATTTTAATTTATAGTAATGATATATTGAAAATATCAAGTGACGCTATTTTTGGTAAGGTTATATATATAAGAGTTTTTATTTAGATTATATAGACTATAGAGGTATAGAAGTTAGATAGACCGACTAAGAAATGTGTTCGACAGAACGTGAAAAGCAATAGAGAAATTTGAAGAGCAAGAATATAGTTTTTATCATGTTATTGTCAGAAATTGAATTGTTAAATTGCTAAAGTAAAAATAGAGAAGAACAGTGCAATAAGTAATTTTCGAATGTGGGTGCATCCTTTTATTTAATTTTTAGCCTATTTCTGTTTATTTACAAGATATTGAAAAATCAAAGGTTGTTGTCAATTATTTTTGCAAAGTTTTTGACAGATAAATAGATTATGTTGATTGATGCATTAAATAACAATATGATATGTAATTGACGATGAAATGACATTGTATAGTCGTGAATAATTTTCACTTGTTTTCTCCTGTACAAACCACAGACAATAAAGTATAAAAGCAAAGATATAAAAATAGTGGTAAGCATCAAGAATATAATATAATTTGGATAGTGTGTTTTGAAATTCTATCGATAATGTTTCGAAAGTGATTGATCCGATTCGAAGAAAAAATACGACCGATTTCAACTTTGGTTAATGAATTTCTATCGTATTCTATAATTTACTAAAACACATCATCTGCAATTATTGAAAATCTAAATCGTATATTTTGTTCCCGCTTATTGAATAGGCGATACGCCTTTTTGGTCGGGTGTGGGTGGGTGTCGGTCTCTGTCTTGTCTTCTTTTTGTGCACACCCACATCCACACCCCAATAATTGAAATCTAAACTTCCTTATGTGATATAGTTCATACACAAAATTTTCCAGACTAACAAAAACGATAGGAACAGAAATTCTCGCCCTTGAACTATTTCGACATTATTTAAAGATAAACTCTGCTTGATTAGTATCAATCAACATTCAACTATGGACGAGAGATATCGGAATAGATCGAACTATCGTAAACATTGAAAACTGTAACAATAAAAGTACAACTATTGATTTGTATACTTCCTTTTGACTCGATAATCCATTCGTCTAATGATAAACATTCATTTTTATTTGATCAATTGTCGAAAATGTTCCATTAGGTAAAACAGAATTTTGAATGATTATTTAATCATAGAATTGAAAATTGTTTCAATAAAATTGACATTCAAAAAATGGATCATATGAAATATAACGCGTCGAAAATCGGCATTACTTTATAGTGAAGTTGAGAAAAATGTTTCAGATATAATCCTATTGACTAAGTTAACATCATTCATTTCACATAAAACAAATTTCGAATTAAAAAATATTGATCGAGTTCAACAAGCTTCATTTTAAATATGTTTCAACAAAAATCACATTTTCAAGTAGACAATTATTAAACAAGACATTAGAAAAATGATTACCTAAAAAAATAACATTGGAAAAATGACAATCATCATCATTGATTTTAATTCTATTGAAATTAGCATCAGATAAGCAAGAATAATTAGTTATTCACAACAATAAACTATCTTTCAGAAAAAGAATAACCTATTTTCTACGTTCATCATCAAGTTTTCGTAACGCTATTAGTCTTTTTGTCCGAATATAAATAAGTTTATCTGTATTATCAAGTGAATAGATATTTTGATCACAATATCGATTTCTATTCCTTTTCCTATTCTACAATGCCTCGATTTAATCCAACAGATAAATTATTTATTAACTTATTTCAGGCGAGATTCTATTGTTTCACACTTTTATTACGATCCCATGTCCTGAAAATCGCTGAAAAATTGGCGATTAATCGTGATATATCGAAACGATAATTGTGAGCTGAAACGCGATTAATCGCCGATTTTTAATGATATTTTTAGTGATTATTACGATANAGAATTCGATTCAACAACCGAAAATAAAAACGAAGAAATGATATAGAATCAAATATATTTTATTAATCCGACACTTTTAAAATCAACAGTTTTTACTAGAAAACTTCAAGTTTTGTTAGATTTTTATTTTATTTTTCTAAGACAAAGAGGGTGCGGTATGGCTGTGGGTGAAAGATAACAATAGAACAAAGCCCACACCTACACCCCACACCCACACCCACCCACACCCACACCCCACACCCACACCCACACCCTCACACCCACACCCACACCCACACCCACACCCACACCCACACCCTCTTTGTCTTAGAAAAATAAAATAAAAATCTAACAAAACTTGAAGTTTTCTAGTAAAAACTGTTGATTTTAAAAGTGTCGGATTAATAAAATATATTTGATTCTATATCATTTCTTCGTTTTTATTTTCGGTTGTTGAATCGAATTCTGTTTGATGACCTTTTATTTCTAATCTAATATATTCAGTTTTAGCTTTCACATCTTTTAATAGTATTTGTGCTTCGTCACACATTTTTCTCAAATGATTCTTTTCTTTGATTAGTATATGTTGTTAAAAGAGTTTCTGCATCTACTTCTACCTGTTTGGTTTTTGTTTATTATATTAGTAAACAAAAAAATATACGGGACTCTACACATATTTACGTCATCAATGAGGAAGCTACTAATGTAGTGACGTTCAAACAAATGTTTAGCTTGATCATTTTTTCTTGCATCCTCTCATGTGTGAATAATTTCAAGCGACATTTTCCTTATTAATTACATAAGAGAGAATGATTTTGCCTCTTGTATTTTGTTACCACATGATAATACTAATGTTTTCTCTGTACAGAAAAGAACGTGAATATATCGAGATTATGCTGTGACATCAAGACACATTCAATAGTTAATATGAATCACATTTCTAGGTTCCATATAGAAGTCCTTGCGACTTACGACTCATAATTATATTCAGATATCTTAGAAATTGGTATCTAATAGTAAAACAAAAGTGGATAATAAGATCGCCTATATCTTTACAAGTCCAAAAGGATTAGTGTAAGAATGGATTGAGAAACATAAAAATGAATTCCAGGCTACTATCATTTAGGTCTCGATTTATTTACTTATATGCTAGTTTCTCTCTAGAATATCATTTCTTAAAAGTGAGTAAACTAATCATAAAAACAGCGATTTTTTGGAGCTATCTTTGTCAAGATATATAATTATTTTAAATGACAATATTTCATTATGATTGTGATATAAATTCCACTGGAAAGATAATAAATAATTATACTGAGTAGAAACGAATACTTTCAAAAATTCGTCGGAATCGTTAATTATATATGCTAGACCCATTGTATATTCATTGTTATCGACAGTGAATTTGTCAAAGTATTTCTATCCTTTGTTGATTTATTGAATAAACATAATTATATTGATCGCAAGTTGAAAATCGTTTTCTCTAATGACTATGTTATAACTAAAAATTTCTTGCATTAATAATATTATTTCATTACATTAATGCTAACGAAACAAGTATTTGTTTACTTATTTTTATAACTGTATGAAGAATTGAATACTTGTATATTGTTTGTTAATTTCTGATAGATTCGTATCATGAGAGTGAATAGGCAGTTTGAAATCAAGTAAATATTGTTGTTTTGAACTGAAAATTGTATGAGGCAACGATTCCCATTTTTTTCAAGGACGCGATTTTTTGCTGGAAATTCCAAATAATGTGTATGCATTAAGGAGAACAAACTATTTTGTTTTTGTAACCGCATTTGGTAATAAACAATCATTTAGACATCAGAAACTAGAAATATGATGTTTTCCTCTTGGAATGTATCTTATTTCAAATATTTCTACATCAATCAATTTTTTTCTTTCGACTTCGTTTACAACATCTCACAAACAAATATAAAATGATCGTCATAGGTAACACAATAAAAACAAACACTAAATCAAGCATATAACGTTGATAAAGTGGTAGTGTGCTATGAAATGGTGCATATCGACTCAAATCACCATTTAAACTTACCAACAGTTCGATTTCTTCAACAGCACGTTTTACACCACCGGCATGTTTCATGTCACGTGACATTAATCGAGCTGCTTGCTCATATGTAGTGTTTCTCCACATGGTAGATAGTTTTGTTGTTACACTACTAGCTAGAAAAGTATAATCATGATAATCATGCGGTTTTAGAAATGATTCTAGTAGAGATGGTGGTTCGAATAACGATTGTCCCACACCTGAATTTTGGATTGCAATTGAATTTAGAAATTGATCGGTATGTATTGGTAAGCATAATATAGGTTTTTGAAAATAAATTCCTTCTACACTTGAACCCATACCACAATGACTTAAATATAGATTAACTGAATTCTGTTGTAGAATCCATTTTTGTTGAACAAATTGATGTTCAACTTTAACTCGTTGATCATCCATCAAAATTTGTCGATATTCAACATTTTGTATCTCATTGAATACAATTTGATAATTATTATAATTTCTACCACGAAACACCAATATGACAGAAACCGAATCTGTTTGTAAAAGAAATTCGACTAAACCATGAATCAAATTCTTCATTCTATCGAGTCTAGCTAACAATACCCGTACTACCAAAAGCTACATAGATAATAGAATTCATTGGTTTGGATTTAATCCACCTTGTAAGATCATTATCAACATAGTCGATCGATAATTCATCTATAAATCCACCAAGATATTTCGTAAGATGATGTGAATACGATGGTGGGTAGAGCGTTGGTGGTATACCAATTAAGTTCAAACAGTTCGATTGCGTAAATAACAGACTTTTTAATGTGAAAGTATCATAAAATGGTCCTGGTATTTGAGGAAATGATTGGAAAATCATGTAGAATGTTTCTATTAATTTTTTGAAAATGGTCATTATCAAATGTGAATAAAAAGCAACATTATAAATACGATATTTGAATTCAGTTATCTGTTTTGATGATAGTAACGAATAACTGGTTGGTAGATTTACATCAAAAATACTCAATTTAATTTCTTCTCGCTGTATGACACAAGATATATTGGCTTTTTGACATAAAGCATGAACGCCTAAGACTAATGAACTACTAATGACGACATCAAATCGATTGGACATTAACTCATGTATTGCTTTATGCATAAGTGCATTCGTAATTCGACCAATTGCTGGCATTATATGAAATAGACTATCAAATAATGAATGATCCATAAAATATTCAATAATATCTTGTTCTATTTTGTTTTCTTCCATAATTGCATCGATTGAATCATTTGTAAAGATCAATCGAAATGAAGATCTATTCGAATACATTTCAACATTAATATATGATTGTGCGAATGCTTCAGTAATAAAAGTTACATTATGGTTTTTCATTGCTTTGGCTAATTCAAACATTGGAATAGAATGACCAGCTGCACCGATGCTAAGAAACAATGCATTCAGACCGAATGATTGAGGAATGATTGTTAGTAATAAAAGAAATGACAAATTCATATGAACCATGATACACGTGGCAATAACAACAGCGCTGAAGTAGTGACAAAAAACAATATGGACTTCTCTTATCGATTCTTTTTGTCTTTCTGTGTTCTAATCTAATGCAAACATTTGAGTTTATACCTAAACTGCATATTTACTTGATCTTTATGGTTCGTGTTGAGTAATAAACTACAAAGCATATTCGACAATGGTTAGCGTACGCCTTATAGATAAAAATGAACTTTAGACTTAGACACTGACATATGTGAAATAATCACGAACAGAAATAAAAGGTTGGTATTCAACATTCGTAGACTAGCAAGAACTACTGTTGAATTACTTTTATAATACAACTTTTCACACTGTCAACTATAATATTTGTAGTGAGTTCATATAAAGAAAAGGAGCTGGGTGTAAGTGTGGATGTGCATGCGTGTAACTATGGTTATGAGTGTCTTCTCTTCACTCACATCCTAAAGTTAAAATTACTTTCATAGAAATAAAAAGAATGACGATATGTATAAAATATAATTTAAATAATTCTTCGTAGTTCAGGCATTGTATACAGGATATTTTCTGTGTAGAGAATAGACTAAAATGTTTTGTCTCTTTTTTTTCTATCTAAACATAACAAAAATGGTTATTATTAATATTCCTGATTATCTATCTCAAATAATTAAAGAATAGAATAATCAAATGTTTCAATTTCACCTATCATCGTGCAATGATTATCTATGATAAACCTTGAGCTCTAGAAAATCTAAAATTCTTTTTATTTTATTTCTTTTTATTCGACTTTATTGAAGATAAAATATCTATTGAATAAGAATGCAATGTATTGATCCTTTGAAAGAAGATCATATGAAAATGTGATAATTTCTTATATGAATTGAACCTTATCAAAATTGAAACACGATGCCATGGTAATATCAATTTACATAAGAGGTTAGCATGACATTTTTACATCATCCAAAAAATAGGATCGATAGTCTTTGAAAGAAAACTCAACTTAATATAAATCATCCATCAAATATCAATTCTAATTTATCATATCATCACATAGTAACTTGATTAGATAATGTAAAATTCTTCATGAGACATTTTTCATAAACTAGAAAATTAATTGTTCTTAATCAGTTTCTGTCATGAAAAAGGATGTGGATGTGGGTGTCGTTGTTGATGGAAGCCTTCAGTTCAAACACACTCACCCACCCTCAAGATCACAGTCCTCAAACCTCTCAACAGAACATTTCACTACTCCAATTTTTCTTTTACACCTTCGCCATTGCTCAGCTTTAGATTTATTTATTTAACTGAAACTGCTCACAATATTAAGTTTAACCGATTTGATCAAGAATCTTTCCTTCTATGAACCATTTTGCTTTCCCAATCTGAAACCATTTTAATTCGATTCAAATAGCGCTCTGTCATCTTTACGTTCTTGAACTGTTCTCGTTTTCGAATAGAATTCGATATGATCCAAATGATAAATTAGAAAATAGATATAAATAATGGGTAGACTAAGGTTAAGGGTTAAGTTAGGAGGATAGATTAAGGTTAAGAGGTTAAGGTAGGAGGATAGATCAAAGGTAAGGGGTTAAGATAGGAGATGGATTTAGGTTAAGGGGTTAACTTAGGGGTTAGATATGTACTCAACAGATAAGTAAATAAGATAGATATCGATTGAATGAATCTGCCAGGGACTACACGTAAGGCGCTTCATGAAATAGAATAAATGAATAGCGAAACGAATAGGTTTATCGATCTCAAGTGCAAGAGCACAGATGGAGTGGATTGGAACCGTGATGAAATTTCAGCTACGAAACCATTTTGAGTGTGAACTGAAAACGGTTTTGTACGGAACCATATTTTTACGAAACTCAGAAAAGGTTTCGATTTCGTTGCAAATCTCGGAACCTTTTTCTTTTCAGTGTAGGGTCTTGGTTCATTTATCGAATAGTGGACTTACTACTTTATTTAATTTAGCTTTATGATATGTTTTTTCGACATATTGTTAGCGTTTGGGTGTGGGTGTGAGATGCGGATGTGGTGTGGGCATGGATGGGTGCCAGTATGTGAGTGGAGATGTGGGTCTGAGTTCGTGTATCGGTTCTTCATCTTTTTATCATCCTCACATTCACACCCACAGTCATAAGCCACACTCTAAAAGAATAGGTTTATTACGGAACCTGTCTCCTGGGGAAGAACCTTTGAGATTTCATATGAATCTACCGAACTTTAAAATGTTTTTGCAAAAATATTCGAATCTTCCTTAGGTTCGGTAGATTCCTACGAAATCTTAAAGGCTCTTCCCCTGGACACAGATTCCGTAATAAACCTATTTGTTTTAGAGTGCAGACTAATAGCCATATCCCACATTCACACGTCATGCCACACATCCCAAATCCGCATCCACATCCCACGCCCCACACTTACACCCATTCTCATATTCCATACAATTCTCTGCACACAAATGTCTTACACACAATTGTCATAGACCCTACAGAAACACAATTTTTTTTTATCGTATTTCATCGCAAAAAGATCGCTAATGTTAGGGAATTACTATTATTCAATATAAATAGTATACTCTCATAATCAAGAGTATCAGTTGACAGCTAAAGTACTTGCGTTTCCATAAAGTCGAGAAAGACTCTCCAGTTCTATTTTCTGATATTAGCAATACTTCTATCAAATTAAACATCTTTCCAACGCTCTGATCTGCTCGATCTCCGTTCATACACCGCAAGTTCCTCGCACAACACACCCATCTCACAAACAATATCACACATAGCACACAGAAAAAAATATATTCACAGTGAATACACAGGTAACAAACGCACAAAAGTTAGACTAAAACTGTTTACTATTGGAATAAAAATCGGTTTTCAGCTATTCATAACATCATCAAACAATCGCGATTTTTCATTCTTTTCTAGACTCTATCTACCCTATATATAGGGGTGCATCACGTGTTAGGGCTTATTTGAATTGCAAAACGACTAGCAGTAACAAGGATGAAAAATCGATTTTTAAGCAGTATTATTCAATCAAAAAATGATCTTTTTTAGTCTTTTTGAGACTCTGCCTACCATATTTATAAGAGTGCACCACGTGTTAGGCCTCATTTGACTTGCAAAACAACTAGCAGTAACAAGTATGAAAAATCGATTTTTAAGCAGTATTATTCATAAAAGAAACGATCTTTTTTAGTCTTTTTGAGACTCTGCCTACCATATATATAAGAATGCACCACGTGTTAGGGCTCATTTGAGTTGCAAAACAACTAGCAGTAACAAGTATGAAAAATCGATTTTTAAGCGGTATTATTCATAAAAGAAACGATCTTTCCCATCTTGAAAAATCGCTTTTTGTCTCAAGTACCTCATTCAGAGGCATTTTTGAAACTTAAAAATCTACTTTCATACATAGGGACCTTTTTTGAATGATACTTGGTTTTCAAGGTGGTTTGAGGATAATTATGATGTTCAGAAAAAAAAGATCTTTAATGATCCTTATTGATCTTTAAAGAGCTTTAATTATCTTTAAACGTCACTTTAGATCTTTAAAGATCTTGAAATATATTTAGCGATCTTTATCGATCTTTCAAGATCTTTCAAGATCTATATCGATACTTTTTTTTGTACCTGATTGGGCTGGAGTTTCTGAGAGTATAAACGGAGGAGTGTAGAAGAGATCTTTAAAGACTTCTTGATGGCTATCATATGCCTCAGATTTGTTTTGGTTTGCCGAAAGTAGGAACGGCCGTATACGGTGAACTTACGGTCGTATATTGTTTTCGTATCGTGCCGTTTACGGCACGGCAAAATACGACCGTAATACAGCCCATGGAAATACGGTGAAGATACAGCCGTAAGCAGTTGCATTTCCGCCTTATACAGTCGTTTCTGGTTACCGTAATGCTCGGTCTGGGAACAATATCCTTAAAATTTTGTCGAATGTTATATTTATTATTTGCAAATATTAAAAGACAAGAATTCTCTTTAAGAAATAGATAAACGACACAAATGAGAAATGACTCGAATGATATTATAAATATGATAGAAATGATAAATCGAAAAAAATGATGTCAGAATATAAAATTTTATTTAATATTTTAGATTTTTTTTTGTATAATTTATTTGAAATATTATGTAACTCATAAAGAAATGCAAATAACATTGGCAAGCGGTAATACATCTCGTTTAAAGAATGATAATAAAATATTAAAATATATTTGTTCATATATAAAATATAAATTTGATAATCTATTTGCTCATGGTTTAATTTTTATTATTCCATTATTAACTATTATAAGTGTATTTATTATATTAATATTTAGTATAATTTATTATTATACTGAAGGAGCAGATGATTATGAAGATGCATTATGGCGAACATTTACACGCATACTTGATCCATGTGCAGCAGCAGAAGATGAAGGTTTAAAACATCGAATTATATCTGGAATTGTTATACTTTGTGGTCTTGTTATTGTTGCAATATTAATTGGTGCAATTGTAACTTTTATGGATGAAAAATTAAATGAATTAAGAAAAGGACATACAACAGTTATTGAAAAGAATCATACAAGTAAAGTTTATAAATTAAATTGATTAAATACTCAAACAGAAAAAAATTGTCTCTCTTTCTTTTTTTTGTGTTTAGTAATTTTAGGATGGTCACCAAAAATATTTGATATTATTAATGAATTAATTATTGCAAATGAAAATCAACGTAATCCTTCAATTGTTATTTTGACATCAAAAGAAAATAGTGAAGTTGAATATATGATTAAAGATAAAATAAATAATTCAAGAAATACAAGAATTATTTATAGAAATGGTAATCCAATGTCAGTATGTAAAAAATACAAACATTTTTTTTTTTTTTTGACAAATGCTCTTCTTTTTGTCTCTTTTTGACAAATAGTATGACAATGAAAAAATAATAATATTCCGACGACAGCGTGCTCTTCCATTTTCCTTCCCTTATTCGCTCATCTTGTAGACTAT